AAGGTACCACTGTATGTTATATATTTTAAGTCAGCCGCTCTGAGCCCGGTTTTGGCCAGGGAGGGCGGGGTATAAATTATTATTAATAATAATAATAATAATAAATTACAGGTTTCTGTCTCATGAGTGGTGGCAACAGCGGTTGTGGTGGGGTTGAAGAGAAGAAAGGTTTCCATTCCTTTGCCCTCCTTCCCTGCCAGGGGCAGGAAAAGCAGAAATCAGAGTAGAAAGTCTGTCCTTCGTTGCCGTCCCCCTCCCCAGGCAATGGCAACAGCAGTGGGAGGGAGAAGGAAGGGGACAAAGACTTGGACCTTTCCCTTTCGCCAGTCCCATGATTACTATTTTGATGCTTTTTTTGAAATCTCAAATGCCATAGAATCAGAGGGTTGAAAGAGACGCCAAGGGTCATCTAGTCGAACCGCTTGCAATGCCAGAATCACAGCTAAAGCATCCCTGACAAATGGCCATGCAACCTCTGCTTTTAAAGACCTCCAATGAAGGAGAGCCCTTCACCTTCTGAGGGAGTCCATTCCACTGCCAAAAAGCTCTTACTGTTAGATAATTCTTCCTGATGTTTAGTCAAAATCTCCTTTCTTGTAATTTGGGCCTGTGTACCTAAAGGAGAGTCTCCACCCCCATTGTTCTGCCCGGGCACTGAGGTCCAGCACTGAGGGCCTTCTGGCGGTTTCCTCACTGCGAGAAGTGAAGCTACAGGGAACCAGGCAGAGGGCCTTCTCGGTAGTGGCGCCCTCCCCATAGAATGCCCTCCCATCAGATGTCAAGGAGATAAATAACTGTACAACTTTGAGAAGACAGCCCTGTATAGGGAAGATTTTAATGTTTGTTGTTTTATTATGACTTTTGATCATTTGTATGTACTGCTACCCAGAGCGCAGGGTCAACCCAGTCAGGCAAGTGTGCCTCACATGATAATGCAAAGTGCAATACTTTATTACTCCTATCACCACTCATCTGTTTTGTTCTGGCCCTACTCCAATCTGTCGAGCAGAATGCCAAACTATTTTTTTTTTAAATCACATTTGTGTGTTCATGTGTGTCCCTGCTTTTCTGGTACCCTAAACATACATTTCATCTCCCTATTGGGTGAATCCAGGACTGGTAGGAGTCAGGGTATCTCCTTTGGGAGTTCAGATTTGTATTTTGAGTACTATGAGCCTATAAGGTTTCAGGCAGAGCCAGGGCACCAGCCTCTCAGGGGCGCCCCAGTGAGAGGGGGAGCTGTGCAGCTTTGCCGGCGGCCTCCCCTTTCCCTGCATGCCCGCCAGCTGCGCCCCATCAACTATATGGTTGGCAGGTGTACAGCTTCCTTCCCTAGCCTCAGCGGGAAGAAGAAGAAGAAGAGGAGGAGTTTGGATTTGATCACCCTCTTTATCACTACCCAAAGGAGTCTCAAAGCGGCTAACATTCTCCTTTCCCTTCCTCCCCCACAACAAACACTCTGTGAGGTGAGTGGGGCTGAGAGACTTCAGAGAAGTGTGACTAGCCCAAGGTCACCCAGCAGCTGCATGTGGAGGAGCGGAGACGCGAACCCGGTTCACCAGATTACGAGTCTACCGCTCTTAACCACTACACCACATAACGATCCCTGCAGAGGCTTAGGATGGAAGCTGCGCCCCGCCAATTATATGGCTAGCGGGCACGCAGCTTCCCTCCCAAGCCTCTGCGGGGATTGTTCTCCACAGTGGCATGGGGGAGAGTTTCACACCCTCCCCCACTATCTGTTGTAATTTGGGGGTGCTGGGCGGATATTTGCACCCTGGTGCCGCATCTGCTAAAGGCAGGCCTGGTTTCAGGTGAATGGCCAGACTGTCCGTCTGTCAGCCATTTTCTTTATTCAAATAAACCCTGGGTCTTCTCAGAATGAGCATCGTCGTCTCTTAAAACGGAACAGTGATCCATTGAGAAAGTGGTCAATGAACCCAGGTTCTGTTGTCCTGGTTCAAGCTAATGTGGCATATTAACGCTCTCCTTTCGACCAAGCGTCTGACAACGTCTCCTGCGTTTGCTGCACCTGGCAAATAAGTACTTCACCCGACCTGTTAATTTTATTGACAGCCTTAAGCAGTAGAAAACACACTGCTGTTCTGATAGTTGCAGCGCTCCCAGGACAACCAACAGCAAATGGCTAGGAGCTTACGTGGGAAGACAGGTTTGCAAGAAATCAGAGAAAGCCACAAGCGCTCGATACCAGGCTGGAAAGTGGAGAGCTAAGAGCTTTGAGAAATCAGGTAATTAATCTGAAATTCTCTGCTGTCAGTTGGCGGGCGGGCAGGGAACTTTATGATGACAAGATACTTTGCTACAAGCTGAGATGCTCTCGCACCCCAAAGTGTCAAGGCGGAGAGAAAACAAACTTCTCAAAGAGGCCAAGGAGCAGGACCTGACAAGACAAGCCCGCTTGCTTGGTGTAGAGCCAAGCAGCTCTGTTAATAAAGATATGTCCACAAAGCAATTGATTATTTGGATGCAGGATATAATTTGTGATGCCAATAAAACTCGAAACAGATGGAGCTGCTTCATAGCTAGTCAATCCACTGGTCTATCTAGCTCAGCATTGTGCACAATGACTGTCAACAGCTTTCTGGGGTTTCGTACAATCAGGATTTTAAGAGACCATGAGGGTCATTGTGATGGCCTGGGAATCTGATTCAGAGGCTGAACCTGAGGAATCCCAGCCTGCACAGGAGTCCCTGCCTCCAGGGCGGGCTGAGCGGGGCTGGGGCATGAGCCTGAAGGGTCCTCACCTGTGCTGGATCCTCAGTTGCAGGCATCAGCTGAATCTGCTCTGGCTCTGGAGGTGATCGAGGACCCATTGCCTGCAGGTGCTCCTCTCTCAGCCCTGTCAGGGGAAGGTGAGGTTGCCTCTGTGTCCAGTAACCCTCCAGCTTCTCCTGAGCTGCAGAGGCTCAGGGCAGAGAGGCGGAGGGAACTAAGTTCTCGCAGGAGGAGTGCTCGCCTCCAGGCCAGGAGAGGCGAGTCACCTGTGGATTGGGGCTGCCCTATGCCTCATAGAAGATAAAGGCCAGCCCGCTGAGTCCCAGGTTGCGGGAGCAACATCGTTGGTTACCTTTTCCTGCCGGCACCCTGTCCTGCTTTCTGCCAAAGTTCCTGACCACGCCCGACTCCCTGCCTTGGACCCCCCTTCAGCCTCAGACCGGACACGGACCACGCCGCACGGTACCCCCCTCCCTGGGACCAGCACAGTCATCTGCAGGAATCTTTTGCCAATGTGGGGCTCGGACCCACAACCCTGAGATTAAGAGTTTCATACTCATGCCCCTTAGGTGTCATTGGACTCCAAGTCCCATCATCCCTGAGCATTAGTCACACTGGCTTCGGTTGATGGGAGTTAGAGTCCACATCTGGGCAGAGGCCCACAGCCACCCTCCCTGACACTGCTGTAGTTGAAGCTTACCAGGATGGGGCCAGGGCAGCAGTGACTGAGTAGACACACCGGTAGGACCAATGTATTGGCCCCACTGGTACATCCCTGTAGTCTTGACCTCATTGCTGCCCTCCCCTTTCCCAGCAGCTCTACTTCTGAATGGGATGTGGCCCCACAGGTCTGCCCCACCACACTGACTGCATACTGGCAGTAGCATCTGCAGGGGTACTCTGGAGGTTCCTCATCCCTGTGTGAGGAATCCACAGGCTTGACCCATGGTAGATTAATGGAGCTTTCATGCACAGCCCCTCTGAAGGCTTTCATGCTCTGCTTGCAGACTTTCTCAAGACAACTGGCTGCAAATTGCCATAGGCTGGCTTGACCCTTAGCCTATTCCAGCAGGAGCCTTTGCACATTCTTGTGACTGGGTTCAACGTACATCACCTCTGCCATGTTGGCCTTCAGAGAAGCCAGGCCTAATGAGCTACTCCAGAGCATCAGGGTATTTAATTGCAACTTAAGCCTTGTGTTACAAAGAAGAAGAAAAGATAGATCCAGGAAAAACCTGCTTGCAGATATTCTGGGTGTTGTGTATAATGGCACCGTCTTTGGGTGTTTTGTTGTTATTCTTGATCATTTGTCATGAAGCACACCCAGATGCCATCAGAAGATATGTGAATGGATGAAGCTGCTAACAAGTGAAAGCACGCCTCTAGGACAAGTGAAGTCGGTTACAATAACCAGACCAGGCAAGGAAAAGTGTTGCCTCAGATTAATTGGGGGGTTCAAGGTGTAGGAGTTGATTACCTTCCCAGACTGAATGGGGAAGGTTATAAGTCAGCAAAGAGAGGGAGTCGGGGATCAGGAGGTTACAAAAGAGGCAGGGTGTCATTTAGGCCCCCCAAAGACAGAGGGAAATAGTTTCTCAGGGAAATAAAGGAAAAGGAAAATCTCACGGCAAAAAGACCATATAATGTAAGCTCAAGGCAGGCAGGAAATGTCTGGAGACCTATAAATTACAAGCTTAAAAACGGGCTTTTCTGGGGAAGCTGGAAAGCCTCCAAGAGGAATTCTCCCCCGAAATATAGTTGCTTGGCTGAGAACAGTCGATTTTTGCTGGGACCGCCAGATTTTCGGTGGTTCCTTTCGCCGCACTAGCAAGTCCTCGCTTTGGCTACAGCCCCTTTGTTGTGTGTGGGCTGCTCAGTGTCACAGAACACCACGTGTTTTGCAGTCTTAAAATAGCTGTTAGTTTCTGCATGTCACACAGCATCATGGGCTCTGAAGTCTTGAGACTGTGTAAATAATGGTTATTGTGCAAGCAGAGCATTTTCTGCATGCACTCGCAGTGCATTTCACAAAGGGAATGCAAATTTTCTGTTTGGCCTCCCCATATATCAAACAAAATTCTATTTTGAGTGGGATTATTATTTGACACAACTCCACGCTAGTCTCCCTCTTGTTATTGGGGAATGGAGAACAGAGGCTATTTTTACATTTCTACCCTAGTTTCTTTGTCTTCACAATTTTCAGCCTCACAGCAACTTTGTGTATTGATTAGCCCAATAAATCAACCCAGTGCTCTCCATCTGTTATGGACAACTCCGAACAGCCTCAACTTCATGGGGATTTGAGTACAGCTTGTTCAGACCCAAACCCAGCAGTCATGGTGCAATGTCACAGCGCCCCCCCTCCAAATATGTCCATGATCAAAGGTGAGCCTGAATTTGGACTTAATCCAGTAGGCTATTTTCTGTGTCCCACTGGCTCTGAAGCAACATTATCAGTCCAGTAAAGGCCATTTTCACTTGCCCTCTATTGATCTCATTTCTTTTTGCAGGTGAAGTTGAGAAGTTCCTTCAGGGAACAAAGCGGTTTGAACTTCCTCGTCAAACGTGTTCAGTGAACATAATCAAGAAGACAAATGTTTTCTTCTTAATTGGACAGTATGGATTCTCCCCACCACCCCTGAGTCCTTATCACTGTTACTGGAAAGCGCCATGAGTAGATTTTCCAGAATGGTGCTATAAAAAATAAAGATGATTGATTAATTCAATACACCTAGAGGTAGGAAACATCTTCCAGGAATGTTTAGAGGAAATGTACAGCATTCTACAAATAGACGCAGTTTACTATATGCATATTAAGCTTTCTGGGATGCTGAAGATTTCCGTTCTCCCGGTTTCAGCTTTGGCAGAATGGCTGGCATTTATTTTATTTTAATTCTCCTTTTTTATTCCCCCTTTTCAGTATGCGAGGATCCCTCAAAGCAACAATTAACAATCATAAAACACAGAGAACATTCATAAAAACATTCCAAAGAAATTAAAACACATTAACCATACTTAGCATTTCTGAGTGTTCTTCCCATACATTATCTTGCAGTGTGATATCGAAATGGCCCTGAATGGTGGGCCAATATTATCATCTTCATCTTGCAGGAGGGCTGAAGCAGAGAGAATGGAGCTTTGTCTAGTGCAGGGATGTCCCAAGTGTTTAAGGCAGGGCTTGGAGGCCAAATGTGACCTCTCCATGGAGGAACATGCAGAATAGGGAGAGAATTTTCTAGGCTTGCAATGCTGTTTAATAGATGGAGTATTGTAGTTCCCTTGCTGGCTTTTGCAGGTGAGTCAGAAGAAGAATATGCAGAAGAAGAAAGTGATTTAGCAAAGACTCAGAGTCCAAACTGCTATTTTCAGTTTACTGTGCTGCAGTGAAGATAACTGATAGCCCATTTACTCAATCTATGGCCATCACTAACTTTAATCTCCTAATTTAAATGGGTCTACTCTAAGTTAAAGTTGAGAGCAATCCATACTGGGGATAATTCAGATGGAAATTCCCAGGTGTCAAAAAAGGCTATTTATGTATGCAGCTACTGTGGCTCGTGTTTCTTTAACCCCAAAATGGAAAATGAGCAAAGTCCCAACCAAAGAAGTATGGCAACTTAAAGTGATGGAATATGCACAGCTTGCAGATCAAACATATAGAATAACAGAACAAGAATAACATTCATTTAAAGAAGATTAGAAAATGTTTACTGAATAAATGGGGGGCGGAATTGTGTACACTTGAAAACATTGGCAACATTAAGATAAATTGAACAGTGGAAATAAGTTTTGATGGAAGTAATAATGGGATACTAAATGGCTTAGTTTATATAAAATATACAGGGATTTATGCTATATATTTTAAAATTTTATGTATGGATGTTTTATGATGGCCTACATTTGTAATGCCTAATAAAGGTTTGGCAAAGTAAGGAAGCAAGCAAGCAATCCTATATTTTTCTTGTCCTATTTTTTCTGGGGGCTGCCCTCAGCATAACTCACTAGTCTAAGAGTCAGCCTCATACAATGCACTGACCCATTTATCCCTAGATTTCCCCATGTGATAGGACACATGAGAGATGGAGCAGGTCCCTTTGGAGGCAATCAGGACCCCGTTTAGATCTCTTGGTTAAAAAGAAAATAATTATTTGCCATGAAGGGCAATTCCCCCCTTGGAGCCTTAAGAGCAAGTTCCCCAAATCAGTTCCTCTTATGTTCATTAAATTCAGGCCCCAGGAGCAATCTCAATTGACATACTAAAAATGTGCTTTCTCTCAACACACTGAAATTGTCCCATGTGATGTTTATTGATAAAGGGGAATAAGTGCAACAGCTAACATTTCTGTTTGGGTTTCATGGTTAGTTAGCGAGATGATGGACGTGCTCATAATATACACCGCCACCTTTAAAAAATAAAAAAAAGCCTGTGCAATCAATCTTGCGCGTGGTGTAACATTTCATTTTCAATCTTGATCAACGGATTGTTTGCCTTTTGCATATTGCTCGGGTTTCATTCTCGGCTGCTCTGCAGATTGATGGGGGGAGAAAAGGGAGGCGAGGGGATTGCGAAGCCAGAGGGGCTGTGGCTCGGTGGGCAGAACATCTGCTTTGCATGCAGAAGGTGGCAGGTTCAGTGCTTGGCATCTCCAGACAGGGCTGGGAATTACTCCTGCTTGGAACCTGCCTACCAATGCAGATAATATTGAACCAGATAGCCCATTGGTCTGGCTCTGTATATGGCGGCTTCCTATGGTCCTGTGTCCCCTGATTGGACTGTGTTCCAAGCTGTGTTCAAATTAGGGCAGGGGACTGACCTGACTGGCCTGGATTGCTCAGTTGGTTAGAGCATGGTGCTGATAAAACCAAGGTTGCAGGTTCGATTCCCGTAAGGGGCAGCTGTGTATTCCTCCATTGCAGGAGGCTGGATGAGATGATCCTCAAGGTCCCTTCCAACTCTACAATTCTATGATTCTAAGGCAGCTTCACTTGCTCCTACAAAGGACTCCAAAAAAGGAGAGGCAAAATCCTCTCTGAACTGATCATAGAGTGAAATATGATCCTGAGAGTTCTGCATTGGCTCCCAGTATGTTTCTGAGCACAATTCAAGATGCTGGTGCTGACCTTGAAAGCCCTAAATGGCCTCCACCCAGTATACCTGAAGGAGCGTCTCCACCCCCATCGTTCAGCCCAGACACTGAGGTCCAGCTCTGAGGGCCTTTTGGCGGTTCCCTCGCTGCGAGAAGGGAGGTTGCAGGGAACCAGGCAGAGGGCCTTCTCGGTGGTGGCACCTGCCCTGTGGAACGCCCTCCCATCAGATGTCAAGGAAATAAGCAACTATCCTACTTTTAAAAGACATGTGAAGGCAGCCCTGTTTAGGGAAGTTTTTAATGTTTGATGTTTTATTGTGTTTAATGCTGTATTGTGTTTTTAATATTCAGTTGGGACCCACCCAGTGGGGAAACTCAGCCAGATGGGCGGGGTATAAATAAATTGTTGTTGTTGTTGTTGTTGTTGTTGTTGTTGTTGTTATATTTGACGTCCTTGTTCTGGGACTCCTGTTGGGGACTTAACTCAAAACTAAGCTTATACCTTATCTATTTCAAAATTACCTCTCTCTATATTTCTCTTTCTTTCTTTCTGCTCATGGCAATCGAGACACTGCTTCAAAGCGCAAAGAAATCCAGGAATCAAAGAGCTGAATCGCAGATGACCTTTGAAGAGACAGGCAAGCATTACCGCAGAAGGAGCTGTATTTATGGGCAGCATCAAAACCAATGTCTCCCTTTAATGGCAGGCATCACCTTCCCGTGTCACTTTACAGTGACACGGAGAAACAAATAAGCCTTGAAAAAGCTGATATTCTATCAGGTGGTAATAGCCTTAGCACCCGCCCTGCTAAAGCATCAGACTCAGTGCCTGCCCCCACCGCTTTTGAAGATGCTTCTTATCAACGCTGAAGTCCTCCTGGCTTCTGTCATTCCTTTCCCAGGAGGGAGATATCAGGAGTTGCCTTATGCTGAATCAGGGCCAGATTACATATAAGCTAAACAAGCTATAGCTTAGGGCCCCACTCTCTTGGGGGCCCCCCAAAAAAAGTTTAAAGGGGAAAAACCTGGATGTACATTTCCAAAATATAAGATAAAAAACAAATAAATTAAAGCTACATACAGCAACAGTGTTTTGTGCTGTGTAGGCTCCTATGATGTAAGTAATGGGTCCCGCCTGCTTGCCTGCTTCCTAAAATATCACTGTTTCACTCATTTCTATATATAGGGTGCCTACATTCTGCATCAGCAACATCTAGGGAACATGATGACCATGTACATGAAATCTTTAGTCTCAAAAGTCTCTGAAAATCGAATGAATGTATGTAAATGAAAATATCAAATGCTGTGGAACAGTGCTCATGTAACAATGTACGAAAAATATTTAATTTTATTTTTTATCATCTACAATACTGTCTTATTTATTTTATAGTACAGTACATTGATTATTGCTTTCATTTTATGGATCAATGGGTTGTTTTTAAAAGTCTGGAACAGATTAATCCATTTTGCATTGCTTCCTGTGGGAAAGCGTGCCTTGGTTTTGGAACACTTTGGTTTTGGAACGGACTTCCGAAATGGATTAAGTTTGAGAACCAAGGTACCACTGTAATGACCAGGTTTCTTTTTCCAGCCATAGTGTGCCAGAGCGCATCTCCAGCACATCTTCAGTGGACAGGAAGTCCTCAGGCTGAGCTTCCTGCCTCAACTCAAACAGCTGAAGAGCAGAGAAGCACGGCAGCAGAGAAAGGCTCTGTGCACCATTTTGAGCCAAGTGCCAGGACACGTAAGTGTTTTGAAATCTTTTATTCCTTTCTGCCTTAACAGTTGAGTACTTGTGAGAGAGGCTGTGGCGTTTGCCCTCCTATGTGTGTGACATCATTCTGGGTTCATAGGGAAAGGGTTAACTAATTGTAAAATGACTAACCGATGGGAACCCAGGGGGCAGATTTAACTGTGTATAAGGTTTAAGCACAGAGGTTTTTTTAGGGAGTTAGTGTTGTTGAGAAGACAGTCTGGAGTTAGAAGAGAGAGAGAAGATAAGTCTGTGGCTTGGGCTAGTCTGGTGTGAGAGAGTGAGAGAACTGGTTAAGAGGAGTCAGTCAAACAGTTGAGATAATCAGTCAGAAGGTATTAGGAAGGTATAGGCTGGCAAAGAAACTAAAGTTAAGATACTGACAGGAATATAATCTGAGAAACCATAAACTTGCTAATGTTTGTAAAATAAACTTGTTGTTGTTGTTGTTGTTGTTGTTCACTTTTAACAACTGTCTGGACTCAGTGTTTTACCAGAGTGTGACTGGTTGGTGGCAGCAGGGAAGTGAGCACAGTGGTGGCACAGGGATCAATAAACCGTTAAACGTCCGGGGACCCTGTGTGATCGCCACAGAGGCAAAGGGAGTTTCCTGGGAGTGTAGCTTCTCTAGGAGCCTAACTCACACCAGAAAAGCCGGGAACAGAGCGACTGAACTCTGTGGCCTCAGCATGGCTCCCGCTTCCCAGCTGATTCTCGCAGCAGCGCAGCAGCAGAAAGGGCTCTCTCGTGCCCTTCTAGAGGAAATTGACTCTCTTGGAGGAATGGAGTGGAAATACTCCTGACTTGAGGAAACTGAAGTGACACCACACTTCCCCCATGGGAGCATTTGCGAGGAGTGTTATTTCACAGAGGGAAGGATGCGGTCAGGGCACACTTTACATAACTTGACCAACTCCCTTAAACTGGCATGCCAGCCAAGATGGCAGACCAGAAGTGGCCTCTTGCCCTTCTTCCTACTTCAGAGGTAGAATGACATATTGGATGTAATAAGAAGAGGGGGGAAATTTCTTTGTGTAGCATTCTGTTAGTTTAGTAGGTTAGGAACAGGAGGGGGTAAAGACTTTTCTGCCTCCTAGGAAAGTTTTTTTTTTTTTTAATGGTCTGGTTAAAACTTTTGAAGGGCGCTAGGAGGACAGCAGCTATGAATGAGGTCAAGAAGACAAGCAATCTGTGACTTATCATTAATAATGAGAATGAGGCCACGGAAGGTCATGGAACCTCAAGTGCATTGCAAGTGTAATTGGGACTTATCCACCACTTCCCCCAATCTTCCACATTCAGCAGTTCTGACAGTGATTTGGATGTGCGGCCATTAGTGAAGAATGGAGTCTTCGTCCTGAAATATGCCTTTGTCATGGAGGAGAAAAGCAACGAGGAATAACTGTGGCAAAGGGCAGAGTATATAATAGAACTATCCATTCCTTGAGTTCAGGGTGTTTCAGGGCAGAGGGATGTCAGCTATCAGGGTAGCGATACAGCTGACGTGGCCAAATGGCTTTTGGCTATCCTCACATGCTGACCATACTGGAGATGCTAATAGATGGATCACTCGTCATGTCCATTGCTAGGAATCACAAATTGGGAGAGAACCTTTGTCACTCAGGTCATGCTTGTGGGCTTCTGGTTAACCACTGTAAGAACAGGATGCTGGGCAACAGGGGTGCTTGCTTGATCCAGCAGTGCTCTTCAGACATTTGGATGAAATTGTGACATAAATACAAAGGAATGTGCTATGCCGGAAGATTCTTGTCAGGGAACTGCCATCGGTTCAGGAGGGAGAGAGGAAAAGCCAAATGGATTATAGAGAGCCTCCAAGGATTGTGGGAAGCAGCGCCTCTTCAACGTAGGAAAGTAACAACACCTCCAGTGGAGAGGAGCTGCAGGGCTTGGAGGAGGTGAGGCGGTGCCAGGACACCTTGCCTGGGCAAAGCTGGGAGGAGAGGGGTCCTCTGTTACCCATGCCCTCCTTGCGCAGTAAGCTTCCGCGCAGAGAGGGGAGGCGCAGACTGGGCGTCAAGAAGTTGTTTTGCTGGGGGAAGTTTAAGAACCGCCCACTCACGGATTCTGCCAGTGAATGAGTCAGCCATGGGAGAGTGGTGCTCCGGACTGACAAAGTTTATTTTTGCAGCAAAAGCAAGGTTTCACAGCCGAGCAGGGAGGTATTTGCCTGCTTGCTCTCGAGAAACCCCTTGGAAACATTACAATTCAGGACAGATAAAAGAAACCAGTTCTTCACACAGTGCATAGTCATACTATGAAACTCACACATAACAGGCTGTGATGGCTGATGACTTGGAAACCAAGCCTTATGAGGAGCGGTTGAAGGAGCTGGGTATGTTGAGTCTGGAAAAGAGGAGACTGAGAGCAGATAGGATAGCCATCTATACCTGAAGGAGCGTCTCTACCCCCATCATTCAGCCCGGACATTGAGGTCCAGCTCCGAGGGTCTTCTGCTGGTTCCCTCACTGTGAGAAGCAGAGTTACAGGGAACCAGGCAGAAGGCTTTCTCGGTAGTGGCACCCTCCCTGTGGAATGCCCTCCCTTCAGATGTCAAGACGATAAAGAAATACATAAATTTTAGAAGACATCTGAAGGCAGCTCTGTATCAGGAAGTTTTTAATGTTTGATATTTTACTGTGCTGTAATCTGTCCAGACTGGCTGGGGAAACCCGGACAGATGGGTGAGGTATAAATGAAACAACAACAACAACAACCATAACAATCATCATCATCATCATCTTCAAATATCTCAAAGGCTCTCACCTAGAAGATGGAGCAAGCTTGTTTTCTCCTCCTCTGGAGGGTAGGACTTGAACCAATGGCTTTGAGTTACAAGTAAGGAGATTCTGATGAAACATCAGGAATAACTTTCTGACAGCAAGAGCTGTTTGACAGTAGAATTGTCTCCCTTGGGAGGTTGTAGACTTCCTTGGAGGTTTTTAAGCAGAGGTTGCATGGCCATCTGTCATGGAGGGTTTAGCTGAGATTCCTGCATTGCAGGTGGTTGGACTAGATGACCCTTGGCATCCCTTCCAACTCTACAATTCTATGAACTATTACCATTCTATGACTGGATGGCTTTAAAAGAGGATTTGGCAGATTAATGGAGGTGAAGGCTATCATTGCCTACTAGCCATGCTGGTTGTGTTCAGCCTCTACAGTCAGAGGCAGTAATGTGTCTGAAAACCAGTTGCTGGAAACCATGGGAAGGGAGAATGCTCTTCTGCCTAGGTTTTGCTTACTGGTTTCCCACAGACATCGGTTTGGCCGCTGTGAGAACAGGATGCTGAAGTAGATGGGCCATTGACCTGGTCCAGCAGGTTCTTCTTATGTTCTTATGCTAATTGCTAAAGCCTTCAGGAGAGTCACTGTGAGTGATCTTCAACTGGCTTGGATGAGTGACTCATATCCACTAGGAGCTGTGTATTCAGTATTTTGGGCCCAATTTTTATGGAACTCATTTTCAGTTTAGATCAGACAGGACCCCTCCTTGGAGAACTTCTGCCACTTCAATCCCAGCAGGCTTTTAAATTGAATTCTGGTTTTATAATTTTAACTCATTTTTGGTCTTATTCTATTGAGTTCACCATGTAGAGACGAGAGTGATTAAATGGTACACTCATTGTTGAAATGAAATAAATAAATATTATTTATTCATTTATTTACTGCAAGATCTCAAGGTGGTCACAAGATCTCAGGGTTGTGTGTGTGTGTGTGTGTGAGAGAGAGAGAGACCTTGTTCAGACTGGGGACCATATTCTCTTTGGGAGCACCCTACCCTTGGGATATAATCATTTGAATTGTAGAATTGGAAGGGACCCCAAGGGTCATCTAGTCCAAACCCCTGCAATTCAGGAATCACCACTAAAGAAACTCTGACAGATAGTCATCGCTCCCATGAGATGTGTTGGATGGCTTTACAAAAAGGGAGACAAATTCATGGCGGAAAGGACTATCAATGGCTACTAGCCACAATATTCCAATGCCAGGCCAAGATCAGTCAGCCCTTATGGCAGGAAGAAGCCTTGGCCAAAGAAGATAAAGAAGAGGAAAAGAAGAATATTGGCAAAATAAATCACTGAACTATGCAGGACATATTATTACGAAAAAGGACAATTGCCCAATGCCTATTTTTTAAGCTTTGTCTATAGACTTTTACATTAGTATAACTTCTAAAAGTCACTTGTAATAAGATGAAGAAGGTTTTAAAATTGGATTGTTAAGTGTATAAGGTTTTATGGACATGTGTAAACAAGTATATTATAAGGGAACCAAGAGGGGGAGTGGAGGGAAGACAACCAAATAAAATAAAAATAATTACGGTTTAATATGTTTATGATTTTTTTTCTGTTTTGTTGTTGTTATTTTTGGAAAATCAATAAATTGTTATCAAAACAACAACAATATTCCAATGCCAGTTGCAGGGAACTGCAAGTGGGACAAGTACTACTGCATATATTAAAGGCACATTGCATGTGCCTCAACCTACCAACGAACTGGAGTGTTACAGCAGGTTGAAGGGCCCTATCTCATTTGCATTGGTTAATGCAATCAGATATAAAGTTTACAATCACATAACAATAAAAATCACATATTCATTCTGCTTCAAAAGCTGAATCTCATAGCTTTATCCCACCCCCAACCCTCTGGATGATTTATGCTTTGCATGATTGTACAGGAATTAAAAGTTCAGTAGATGAGCCCTGATATTTCCCTTCTTGGAAGATGCAAAGCTGCAAAGGTGCTCGCTACATGTGCTTCCAACACACACATTCACAATTATGCCATTATCCACAGAGCTTCCGAAGGTGGATCTAGGAAATGGGAGAAAACATTCATGGGGACACATCTCTATCATTATCTTAGTTGCACAAGAATAATTCAATATGTGTGGTGCATAACAAGGAGCTCAGAATAAAGCAAAAGAAGAGCCCTGAATTTTGATATTGCTTCCCACAGGGGCTAACCCCACAGAAAACCTACATGGAGCCAGTGAAGGCATGGGTGCCAACTCCTAGGGGCCCAGCTCTGTTGGTCCCCCCCAATAATGTTTTTGGGGTCCAGATTCCCCCCACATGTTCAATAAAATCGGGGGCGGAGGAGGCCAAGAGAGGAGCCAAGTGAGATGCAGTTTCAGTGGCTGGCTCCTTTTCCTGCCACAGAGGGGATGGAGGGGGGAAGCAGCCCCCAGCTAGTGGTGGTGGAAGGAGGAGGAAGAGGCCAAGTGTCAGAGAGAAGGAGCTACTGGCCATTGAAGCCACATTGCCACCATGTTTGGCTCCACCCCGGCTCCTCCTGATGTCCTGACATCACAATGCAATGTTGTGCATTGCGTGCTGACATCATGCGTATGACATCGGCCGGCCCAGTCTCCTTTACAAGTTTGCACCTCTGAGTGAAGGCTAGTCTATTCAGGTAAATGGGGCCTCACTAATCTCAGTCTGGTGGCAGACCCCAACCTGCTACCTTCTTACAGACATCCAGCCCAGGGAGTGGCAATAGGCTTGCAATGTTAGGGAGTTGTTATGTTAGGGAGTGTGCTGAGGAGGGCTGCACAGATGAGGAATGGTGGGAGTCTCTCCCTGCTCCTGCTCAGGATCCTGAATCTTCCCAGGAGCAGTGGGACAGTATAGATTTGGAACAGTGGTTCGCAGAGGGACACACTTCAGAAGACTGAAGTTGGGAAGAACTGGGTGGGGAACAGCTTGGAGGAGAAGACCTGGGAGAGATAGAATTAACAGACTCCCTTTCGCTGGAAAGCATCCATCCACTCAGCCCAAGGTCAAGGAGAGCAGATAAGGTGACTGCACAGAAAGCCCAATGGTTGTGAGATCAGGTTGCAAGATGCAGAAGTGATGTGGTTGACTAGGGGGGAAATGGGTGGAATCCTGAATTGGGAGCACCTTCATTCCTAGAATTGGATTCTTTGTTCTCTCGCTATGATCATAAAATTTCTAACTGGTAAGAGACACCTTTCGCTTTGTTTTGCTTATCTACTGCCAAAGGGGTGGCGGCGGAAGCCGGGTCTCTGAAGCCCAGCATGTATATTCACTCACTCACTCACTCACTCACTCACTCATAAAGACAGTCAGTTACTCAATCTTTATTGCTTCACCATAGGTCACCGTGGAAAACAGTAAGTAGAATGAAACCTGCACTTTGGAACTCCCTGCCCACCCCCTTTTTCTGCATAGTTTTTGGTGCCTGCTAAAAATTGTTTCTTTGAGGAAGCCCACCCAGATAAATCTGACAGGTATTTTAATATGTAATCTTATTTTATAATGTGTGTGTGTGTGTGTGTGTGTGTGTGTGTGTGTATATATATATATATATATATATATATATATATATATATATATGGTTGGTTTTATTTTGGGGAGAAAATTAGACTTAACTTGCTTTTAATAGCTTGGTTTATAGGCAACATTGATGTTTAGAGGTTTTTGATGATTAAGTGGTATATAAATCCCTTTAAACAAGCCAGCTGTTCTCAACCTGTGGGTCCTCAGATGTTGTTGGACCACAACTCCCATCATCGCTGAGCTCTGGCCTTACTAGCTAGGGGTGATGGGAGTTGTAGTTCAACAACATCTGTGGGACCCAAAGGTTGAGAAATGCTGCCCTAGGCTCTGTGGTTTAGACCACAGCGCCACCCGCGTCACAGATAGATAGACAGATGAATGCAAAGTCCAATGCTGGCTGGCATCCAATGAGAAAAGGCAATCTTTAATGGGTTGTACTTTGTAGCTTTCAATACCAAGGACTAAATAAATACTCGAACTGTTAAAAATAATGCAAGGAGGTTCTGAATGATGCCTGGGAGGTGAGAAGACAAAAAGAAAAACCTGCAAGCAAGCAACAGCAGGAAAAGCAACAATCAACTGTACCTCTTGCTGCCAAAGTGAAAATTGAATCTCTCCAAGTCCTAGAAAGCCACATGTCTAACCCATAGCCAGAAAAGCCACAACTGCTGTCACACTGCAGGCATATCTGTATCCGAGACTTAAAACAGGCTTGAGATGCATTAGCCAAGCCTACAGAATCCTGGAGACCGTAGATCTGGAAAGGGGTCTGTGTCAGAATTTATCAGTAGCCCTCCCCCTTTCATTCCCCCGAGGAGCAGAATGGACAATGTTTTGAGCCAGAAATGAGGGAAACACCTCTCAGCTAAGAGATGGAAATTGCAAGACTGGAAGGATAAACATCCCCCATCTACTGTGCCTTAGTCTGAACCATCTCACAACCCTTTCTAACGTTTGAATGCATCGCATATATATATATATATATATATGCATCAATCTCATTTCTAAACCTATCTGGACATGCATTTTATTTATCATTTGTTGAATTTGTATCCTGCACAAGGGGGACAAACAGATGCACAATTTAAAAGCAGAAACAATGCAAGTAAATATTCTAAAATAACAATAATAGCCGGAAAAGAATTGCCGTTAAAAGCATCCAGAAGCAGTTATGGTTAAAAACATTTTCCCATCCAATGATCTCAGGTTTGCTAGGAACACGATCCTTCAGCCAAGTGCCTAAGTAAACAGGAAAGTTATCAAATTCCTCCTAAAAGTTCGTAATGATGGAGCTAGGCGACTCTCCCTAGGGACGACATTCCACAACCAGAGACTGCTTACATTAACCTATGCATCTATATTAGGGTTTTATTGTCAATACCAGCTGGTGCTGTTTTTATTCTCCCCATCTTTCTTCCTTTTTTTTTTGTTATATTTGCAAATAAAATATTTTTAAAAAAAAAACAAAAAAGCAATGAGAGAAAATGATCCAAAATAAAATGTTTCCATTTAACATTAGCTAGGTATCCTCAGTGAGATGTTTGGGGGGATGAGGGAGAAATGAACACCTCACCGGTTTTCCAGATGTTTCTCTCCTGGAGCATACTGTTAGCGCACACCCAGTGATGGAGCTGCATGGTTTATTTATTTCATTTTTTAAAAATACGCATCGCCCACGTGTTTGGTATAGGCACAAAAAGCACAACCCAAACCGCTGCCAACCAAATCTTAAAATAACAACCCCGCATAGTAAAACAGGCTGTCAAATGAACAAAAAGGCCATCGATCAAGCTAAGCAGTTAAAGAGAATGGGACAGATCAGCGGAGAATCCCTTTGCAAAGTTCAGGAATGGTAAGAAAGGTCAGCTCCAGTCGTTCCCCCTAAGTCAGAGGAGGGGAACAGTTTCTCAGCCCAAAATGACCCTTCCGGGGAGCTGCATGCAGAAGAGAATTTAAGGCATCCTGACTGGCTCCCTCACACTGGGGCTGAGCCAAGGATTGTGCAGCAGGGCACCACAAGAAGAAGAGAGTTTGGATTTGATATCCCGCTTTATCACTACCCGAAGGAGTCTCAAAGCGGCTAACATTCTCCTTTCCCTTCCTCCCCCACAACAAACACTCTGTGAGGTGAGTGGGGCTGAGAGACTTCAGAGAAGTGTGACTGGCCCAAGGCCACCCAGCAGCTGCATGTGGAGGAGCAGGGAAGCGAAGCCGGTTCACCAGATTACGAGTCCACCGCTCTTAACCACTACACCACAACAATTATGTAGCGCAGGGCTCAGCAACCTTTTTCAGTCATGGGCCAGTCCACCATCCCTCAGACCATGTGGTGGGCCGGACTATATATACTTTTTGGGGGGGGGGAAATGGACGAATTCCTATGCCCCGCAAATAACCCAGAGATGCATTTTAAATAAAAGCACACATTCTACTCATGTAAAAACACCAGGCAGGCCCCACAAACAACCCAGAGGTGCATTTCGAATAAAAGGACACATTCTATTCATGTAAAAACACACTGATTCTCGGACCGTCTGCGGGCCAGATTTAGAAAGCGATTGGGCCACATCTGCCCCCTGGACCTTAGGTTGACTACCTCTGATGTAGCGCATGCACAGAATGGAAGGCGAGAAGTGCCCCAATTTTGGGCTCTCACAGGGTGCCACTGAAATTTGGAAGACCCAAGTCCACCCCTGTTGCAGGTGTCACCTGGAGCGATATTAGCACCAACCTGAAGCATCCTTGACCTTGCCCAACCGCCACTGGGAAGATGCTCCCCACCCTCTGCTCCCACTCACTTTGCATCATTGCAAAGGAGGTTTATTATAGAAGACAACCACCTCTCACAATGTTTGCAAGAAACCATCACAAGACTCAGCACGGACAACACACTCAGCAAAGAAATCAAGGCAGTCTCCTGGGTTCCGAGAAGCCGAGCGCAGAGACACTTTCAAAAAGCACAAAGTCACGGGACGGTGGCATTTTTAGAAAAGCAAGTTAATCATTCCAGTACCTTAATTAGCACCTTCCTTCAACATCCACGAAGAAGTGAGGAAACTGTTTTGCAGAGAAATAAAGGGTATCCATCCTAGAAATGAAACAGCATTAAAACAGTTATTAGAATTCGGAAGGATTCAGTTCATTTTGCACAATATTAAAGTTAAAATGCCAAGACAAATGACTCATTCCTCCTCATAAGGAAAAAAAATGTCGGAAAGTTTTAAGATTTTATTGTCTTCATAATTGCACATTTCCATATATTACTGAAAGCTTTCTTTCTCCCCTGGTCTAAGCATCTTGGTGCCAACAGATTACACGGTCAGCACATTCAAACGCTAAAGTTTGTCTATGGATTCTGCCACCGTAGGCTGCAGATAGGATATTAATTATTGGAAGACTTCCCCTTGTTGGGGGAAAACTCTCCACATGGAGAAAAATAGCCTGTGAGGAGAAAATTGTATGTGGCACCCTGCTAGAAAGTGAAAAATATGGGCAGGCTGTTCGGTTTCCATATAGCCAGCACCCTTCTCCCTACTATTTAGAAACATACAATCTAAAGCAATTAGTTTTATTTAGATATTTGTATGCCACCCTTTGCACAAGCCACAAGGATGTTTGCAGCTGACAGATTAAAATCTATGAAAGCCATGAAATAATACAATCTTTTTTAAAGAAGCAGATAACATATCACTAAATAAAGGTAACCAATAGCAGCTGCATAAGTGATCAGGTTTCCTGCTGCTGAAAAACAAGTTTCTTAACTAACCACCTAAAACTGTAGAGAGATGGGGCCAGACACATCTCAGTAGGGAGGGAGAGCCACATGTAAGGGGCCACCACTGAAAAGGCCCTTTCCTGGGACCCTACACCACATACAGTTGTACCTTGGTTTAATCCCTTCCGGGAGTCGGTTCGACTCCTGAAATGGTTTGACAACCAAGGCACAGCTTCCGATTGGCTGCAGGAGCTTCCTGCAGCCGATTGAAAACCGCGTCAGATGTTCGGCTTCCAAAAAAACATTCACAAACCGGAACACTCACTTCCGGGTTTGCAATGTTCAGTAGCTGATTTGTTCAACAGCTAAGGCGTTCGACTACCAAGGTACCACTTTGTTTCGCAGTAAGAAGGGTGCACCCGGAGGGCAACATCTGCTGATCTTAGGGCACAGGGAAGGTGGACATAACAGAACTTGCTGCATGTAATGGAAAATTACAGAATGCAATGGAACTTGTTTCCTAATAATAATAATAATAATAATAATAATAATAATATTTTATTTATACCTCGCCCTCCCGGGCCAGAGCCATGCTCAGGGCGGCTAACACCAGTAAAATTACAATAAAAACATAATGGGGGGGGGGGACCAATTTAAAATACAGGTTAAAATACAATTTAAAAAGCAGCCACATTTTAATAATAGCCCATAGATTAAAACCGTAAGAGGAGGGAAACATAAGGATCAGACTGAGTCCAAACCAAAGGCCAGGCGGAACAGCTCTGTCTTGCAGGCCCTGTGGAAAGATGTCAAGTCCCGCAGGGCCCTAGTCTCTTGTGACAGAGCATTCCACCAAGTTGGGGCCAGTACTGAAAAGGCCCCGGCCCTAGTTGAGACCAATCTAACCACCTTGCGACTTGGGACCTCCAAAATGTTGAGGACCTTAAGCCACCGACAGTCCGTGGACGCGATGACTCGGCTTGCACCATTGCGCCCACTCCCCGACTGTGAAAGGCCTTTTTTAAAGGCCGGATCGGAGTGCCGGGGAGCGGCGTGGTGCTGAGTCCTCTGCTTTCCCCTGCCGGCGCAGCCACATGCCATTCGGCCAGGAGCGCTGACTTCTTCATTGAAAATTTGGACTATGCTCAACAACCCGTGGTAATTGGGAAACGGGTTCAAAATTTGGTTAGCCTGACAGAGGCGATTTAAAAGAAGTCAGTCCCCTATGGCTTGTTCCAAAACAAGGACTGGAGTAACCAGGTCCAAAGGGAAATGATCTTGATAAAAACCATTAACTACGATGAGTGTAGAACTGTGCTGGAGGGTGGTGAAGAAAAACCACAGCCCCCCTGGGGGCTGAGCGTGAGCCTGGTGAAGAAATGGAGGGCTGACTGGCTGTTAAAGTGGCTGTCAAAAGTTGGGAATATAAGAGATTTTATTGCTAGGACTTTGCCCGGTTGGGCTTTTTGCTACACAATTTGCTACAATATGAGTTATAAACTGTTGGAAAATAAGCAACAATTTGACTTTGGATTAGAGGATACAGTTATTACAATCCACAGAGGGTTTCAGGATATTAAGAACGGTGTGGTGGAAAAAATGCTCTGGGACTCACAGGACATTTATCTTTTAGGAAGCTGCAGGCTGAGTGTTTGTCTACAGGTGTTATTACATTGGAGACAATGAATTTTCTATTGAAGAAAGGAAGGACTGGACAGTAAGTTTTGTTCCTGGATAACAAGCCTCTGCAGACCCTTGAATTTCTGAATATAAGTTTAGCAGCTAGACCAGGACAGAAACCTGAGAAAGTGAAAGAAAGACAAAGGACTGATTACGACACAGGAAAGAACAGCAGGAGGAGTGGTAAAGATCAAAGGAAATTAAAGGCCTTTGTTAGGTGGATGCCAGAAATTCCATATTATTAATAAATTAAAAAACCAGCAGATGATCAGGAAAAATTTAGTCATGAATTGAGACTTCCAAGCTGATATAGACTGATGGATGTAGAATTCAAACCGGGGAAGGGGGGAGATTTAAATCAAAGGCTGTGCAACCTTCTTTGGAATTTTCCTCTTATTTTTTATTTTTACCTTTACGCATGTGTTCTTTGATTGGACGTGTTTAAAAAGAGGTGATGGAAGGAACGGAGGGTGGATCTTGAGGGAAAATCTTTTTCTTTTTCTCTTATTGTGGATGTGAATGTTGTAGATTTGTACAATTCAATTTGGATGGGTTCGCTCATTAAGCTTCAAATTGGGAGTGAGAGCTTAGAACTAAATTAGGAAAGAGGAATACAGTCGGGGAGGTCCCAGAAGTAGGCAATGAAAAGTAGGATTTTTAAATATCTTTTTTTTCTTCACTGTTTCTTTGTATTTTTATATTTTTGGAAACTTTAATAAATATGATTTAAAAAAAAAAAAAAACAAAATGTTGTCATCTGTGGACCTTAAGGTCCTCTGTGGGGTATACCAGGAGAGGCGATCCCGTAGTTACATGGGTCCTAGGCCGTATAGGGGTTTAAAGGTCGAAACCAGCACCTTAAACCTGACCCTGTACTCCACTGGGAGCCAGTGCAGTTGGTAAAGCACTGGATGAATGTGATCCCGCGGCGAGGACCCCATAAGAAGCCTCGCTGCGGCATTCTGCACCCACTGGAGTTTCTGGGTCAGCTTCAACGGCAGCTAGAAAGGGTTTTTAGCTATGCCTTTGCTACGATGGCTGCTGCAAGCAAATTTCATGCCTAAGATCTCCTTGAGGCCCTTCTATGAGACCCTCACCTAGGCTGGAAGCATAGCTAGTGGGACAAAAAGGAGGGAGTTACACCTCGATTATGCAGACCATGTCCTGCTAAGTGGAACATTGCTAGCTGCCCTTCTGCTGTAGCAGGAGCTGTATTTATGGGCAGCATCGTAACTAATGTCTCCCTTTAATGGCAGGCATCACCTTCTCCTGTCACTTTGCAGAGACACAGGGAAACAAATAAGCCTTGGGAAAAAAGCTGATATTCTATCAGGTGGTAATAGGCTTAAGCGTTCGCCCTTCCAGAGCCTCGGACTCGGTGCCTGCCTCCGTCGCTCCTAAAAATGCTTTGATCAGTGCTAAAGTCTTTCCAGAGATTGCAGCTCCTTCTGCAGAGCATATCTGAAGATGCTGGGGACTGAAATTAGAATCTTCTGCAGAAGTGGTGCTTCAGGTTAAGAACAGTTTCAGGTTAAGAACGGACCTCCGGAACCAATTAAGTACTTAACCTGAGGTACCACTGTAGTTTGGTCGGAAGGCAAGTCCCAGTCCTTTGGTTGACAGCCACAAGTCCTCTTCGCTGCCATCGCTCCACAATCTTCCCTTTAGCTCCTCACGCAACGCACAGGAGGCACGTAGCCCTGTGTCCTAAAGTGTGAAGGACAAACTGCAAAGCTACAGTGACAAACGTCGCCATTGCAGATTGCAGCCGGTGATTCTTTCAGACAGTTTGTCATTCCTTTGCCATTGTTAGTGCTGGTGTGCCGTTTGCCTGCTGTATAATGTACAAGGGAGATGGGACCCACGATAAGCTCATAAGTTGCACTCACAGCCTTTGCTATGTTCTTTGGGATTTTACCCAGTACGGACGGGAGTGGGGGCCAAGTAACAGGGCTGGCCTTCCAACCTGCCATTGGCAGAGGGGATGGGAGTTGTCTTGCAGCCGCCATCTTTCTTTGGCCTTACTGGGTAGAGTTGCCACACAATTAGCTGACTTCACGACACTTTCCACCCTTGTTCTGGCATCTTAAGGGAAGTGTCATAAGCTCAGTGGCAGAGCCTGTGCTTGGCATGCAGAAGGTCCATTGGATAATCTTGCTGTGTCAGGCTTCAGAGAATTGGCTTCCTTCCCCGTCCCCCTTCATTGGAGCAAGGCAAAAATGTGTCCCCCAATTTTCTCCCTCTTCCCATAATACAAGATCTCTGGACATCCAGTAAAGTGAAAGGATGTAAGATCTAGGACAGATAAAGAACTTCTTCTCACAGTGCCTGGTTAAACTAAAGCATATAAATACCGTATTTTTTGCTCTATAAGACTCACTTTTTCCCTCCTAAAAAGTAAGGGGAAATGTGTGTGCGTCTTATGGAGCGAATGCAGGCTGCACAACTATCCCAGAAGCCAGAACAGGAAGAGGGGTCGCTGCTTTCGCTGCACAGCAATCCCTCTTGCTGTTCTGGCTTCTGAGATTCAGAATATTTTTTTTCTTGTTTTCCTCCTCCAAAAACTAGGTGTGTCTTATGGTCTGGTGCGTCTTATAGAGCGAAAAATACGGTATAACATGGGGGAGAAGAGAGGGGGTGGTAAGATTACATTCTTTTACTTAGTGTATGTGTGGGGGTTTTGTGTCAGCGTCACTTGGGCGGGTTCTCTTTCTATTCATTAATTATTTTTCCTCAGCAGTTGGTGGGGGGCAGGGCATGGTTGATTGCAGTGGTTGAGAGCCAGTGTGGTGTAGTGGTTAAGAGCGGTAGTCTCGTAATCTGGGAAACCGGGTTCGCGTCTCCGCTCCTCCACATGCAGCTGCTGGGTGACCTTGGGCCAGTCACACTTCTCTGAAGTCTCTCAGCCCCACTCACCTCACAGAGTGTTTGTTGTGGGGGAGGAAGGGAAAGGAGAATGTTAGCTGCTTTGAGACTCCTTCGGGTAGTGATAAAGCGGGATATCAAACCCAAACTCTTCTTCTTTAGTTGACTGCAGCAAGTGTTGTTTGCTACCTCAGCTGTCAGAGGCAATATGCCTCTAATTCCCCTTTGATGGGAAACACAAGTAGGGAGAGGGCTGTTTCTCTCAGGTCCTGTTTGTGGGCTTCCTGTAGGCCAGTGGTTTTCAACCAGTGTGCCGTGGCACACTGGGGTGCCTTGAATGATGGTTGGGGGTGCCGCAAGCAACATTGGCCTCTGTCCCCCTTTCCTTCCCTCCCTCCTCTGAAGCCCTCTCTCGTCTCTGCCTCCCAAAGGCTTGCACAGCTGTTTGCTGCAGTAGCCCTGACTGCAAGCTCCCCAGACGAATGGTGCCTCAGGCTGGCCAGGGGGTGCTGGTTGCCAGGAGCTGAGGTGGACTCAGGGTAAACAAACAAGTGGGTTATAGATGCCAGGCAGGCCCTGGCCTTTCTTGTGCTTGCTGTGTGCAAGGTCTGCCTAGGAGCAGGTCTGAAGGGGAGCCTTCCGGCTGCCACCACCTCCCAAGGTAAAGTGCTGGCCTCACATTCACCGTTGGCCAGTCTCCCTTGGGCCACTAAGGCTGGGGGCATCCTCTTCCCAGGCCCTTGTGGGGCAGTGTGAGGAGGCACCTCTCTTTGGGACGGGTGGCGGTGGCTCAGAGGCCAGGGTGGCAGCAGCGGCTGCCCAGACGACTCCCAAGGAGAGGAGAGGAGGCTGAGGGAACACTCCACAAGGGAGCGTGTTCGAAAAAGGGTGAGAGGCTGCCAGCTCTGCAGGCAAGGGGTGACGTTACTTTGCTCCTGAGCCCCACAGGGGTGTCAAAGAAAGAATGTAGTTGGTCAAGGGAGCCATGGAATCAAAAGCTTGAAAACCTCTGCCAGAGGTACCTGGTTGGCCGCTGTGAGAGCAGAATGCTGGTCTAAGATGGGCCACTGGAATGATCCAGCGGCCCATTCTTATATACAGTGGACGCTCGGGTTGCGAATGTGATCTGTGCGGGAGGCACGTTCGCAACCTGCAGCATTTGCAACCCACGCGTCTGCGCACGCCCGGGTCACGATTCAGCGCTTCTGCACATGCGCTAGCACCAAAACCTGGAATAATAAATAAATAAATTTTTATTTATACCCCACCCTCCCCAGCCAAGACCGGGCTCAGGGCAGCTAACAACCAATAATAAAAACAAGTTGATTAAAATGCAATTTAAAAGATTAAGATACAACATTAAAACATTAGGATGCAGCCTCTTCACAGGAGGAGAAAGGAAAAAGAAAGAGGGGGAGAGAATCAAACTGATTCTAAGCCAAAGGCCAGGCAGAACAACTCTGTCTTACAGGCCCTGAGGAAAGAAATCAGATCCTGCAGGGCCCTAGTCTCATGAGACAGAGCATCCCACCAGTGTTGAAAAGGCCCTGGCTCTGGTTGAAGCTAATCTAACTTCCTTAGGGCCTGAGACCTCTAGGGTGTTGGACCTTAAGGTCCTCTGTGGGGCATACCGAGAGAGGCGGTCCCGTAGGTATGAGGGTCCTGGGCCATGAAGGGCTTTAAAGGTCAAAACCAGCACCTTGAACCTGACCCTGTACTCCACCGGGAGCCAGTGCAGCTGGAAAAGCACTGGGTGAATATGCTCCCATGGCAGAGACCCTGTGAGGAGCCTCGCTGCAGCATTCTGCACCCGCTGGAGTTTCTGGGAGAGCTTCAAGGGCAGCCCCGCGTAGAGTGAATTACAGTAGTCAAGCCTGGAGGTGACTGCCGCATGGATCACTGTGGCCAGGTTGGGGCGGGACTTCCAGGTTTGGTACAGTGCACAACCCGAAATTGTGCATTCCGAAGCATCTGTAATCCAAGGTATGACTGTATATATATATATATATATATTTGTGAGAAATGCTACACACATTCCATAACTGGGTCTGGTACAACAGATGCCTTGGGTCATTCCAATTCCCTTATTACAACTATGCCTTATGTTAAATGAATATTCTCCTATTCTATATAAATTATAAAAGGTACAAGTACATTTTTCTTTTGGTAATATTAATATGCCACACAACTGCAAGCTTCTCCCCTCTTTCCTTTCCTTTCCTTTTTATTTTTTTAGGAACTGAGCAATGTATGACTGTGTTGTGAGTGGAACATGACTGGGCTACTAGCAATTCCCCCATCAAAAATTAGAGATGACTGCAATTTGGTAGTGATTCAAGGAAAAAATTCTCCTGAATGGCTAGACAGCTACTTGGATTCTGATCAGCTAATCAATTATCTATCATGTATACGGATAGTGAACTCAGGTGCTGACTTATGACAGCTGGCTTGCCAAAAGAGGGCTACTGAGAAAGAAGAGGTGGATATTAGCAGGTTCGGAGTAAACTCATGTTTTGCAGAAATACAAAAACCTTAGGAGAAAAGAACCACAAACAAGAGGGGCAGAAATAAAAGCAGATCATTGAGGACTGTGCATGACCAGTGGTCAGGAGATTGCTGTGTGCCTGTTGCAGGAAGGAATGAAATGGAAAAGCAGGGCAGGGCAGGGAATAGAGTATCCCGGAGACAGCCATAGCTGGCTGGCTGGAACAGAATGCATCCCATTCTGCAACATTCTGTTGCAGTTCCCACTTGTGGGGAATTATAAGAAGAGCACAAGAAGATCAGACCAAGCTCCTGATCTTTTCAGAGAGGCAGGAAATAGAAGAAAAGTGGGGGATGGATTGGAGTATGCAAAATCGATGCTTTCATTGAGGGGTAAACCTATCAATGGGTACTAGTTGCTCAGCCACGAAGTTCATTGGCTGATCTAGCCTATCTAACCTGGATTGTTGGGAGAATAACACAGAGAAGGGAAGAACAATATACCACCTTGAACTCCTGGGAGTTTTTGTTTTTTTAAGGGTTGCAATGTGTAATTGATTAACTTTTTAATAAACTAAAAAGGTGCCCAGGCATTGATTAGGCAGCAGATTTAAAGGTTAATTTGGTATAAGTAGTACCTATAAACAATGCATATCTGAAGCACTATCTAAGAAAATGCAGCTCTTTTCTGTTACATGGGAGGGAATGTTCTTTCTAAGAAGACAATTGCTACAAGTCAGAACAGATCTGCACATCATCTAAAAACAAATATAGTTCCTTTTCCCTTTCTTTTACATGATTGTTTTTATGCATATGCAGTCATCATTTACAAACAATGGAACTTGGAAGATTTTATTTTATTTCAATTTCTTTCTTTCTTTTCCTGCTGCTGAACGATTGTTTTTATCTATATACTATTTTATATGCAAATTTTATGGATTGATCAATCAACTAGAATCATACAATATATATTGAAAGTATCAAGGAAAATCCCCGCTAGATATAGTCATCTTAAGAGAGAAAAGACGTGTTATGTTGCCATCATTTTCTAAAAATATCCAAATAACAAGCGAAGTTCAGGTTTTTTCTGCTTGGCTTTTAAAATTCTTTATAAAGGTAAAGGTAAAGGGACCCCTGATCATTAGGTCCAGTCGTGGCTGACTCTGGGGTTGCTGCACTCATCTCGCTTTATTGGCCGAGGGAGCCGGCATACAGCTTCCAGGTCATGTGGCCAGCATGACTAAGCCACTTCTGGCGAACCAGAGCAGCGCATGGGAACGCCGTTTACCTTCCCGCTGGAGCGGTACCTATTTATCTACTTACACTTTGACGTGCTTTCGAACTGCTAGGTTGGCAGGAGCAGGGACCGAGCAACGGGAGCTCACCCCACCGCGGGGATTCGAACCACCGACCTTCTGATCAGCAAGTCCTAGTCTCTGTGGTTTAACCCACAGCGCCACCCGCATCCCCTAAAATTCTTTATAGATTGCAACATATTTATTCTTGGATGGAAGAAATCTTAACTGCATTTGAAGATGACAGTGCAGCCCAGTCCTTCAAATGTTTGCTGCTTGTTTAGCCTCACTGAGTTCTCCTAAATCCAAATATCCCCGTTTCATTGGCTCTTGGGTGATGATCAACCTACATGAGATATCAGGAGATCCATAATGGTACCTGTGTGGCCCTTTTTATGTTCCCACACCCAAAAGCATGTCCACTAGATGAATTAGTTGTCAGCTTGCATTTCTTAGTACAAAAAGTATTTATCTGATGTGTAGAGAACTTTCCTATTCTACTTAATTCAAGAGAGTTCTGGAAGCTTCTGGAAGCTTCTCTGTGAGAAAGAAACAAGCAGAAGGTTCATGAAGTTTGGGTTATGTGCCAAATGGTTGACAAGCAGGTTGTCACACCCGCCTGTCAAAGTCAGTCCGTGTGGGAGGTGGGAGTAATAATAATAATAATAATAATAATAATGATGATTTTTTATTTATTATTTATACCCCACCCATCTGGCTGGGCTTTCCCAGCCATTCTGGATGGCTTTCAACAAAATATTAAAATACAGTAATGTATCAAACATTAAAAACTTCCCTAAACAGATGTCTTCTAAAAGTCTGGTAGTTGTTGTTCTCTTTGACATCTGGTGGGAGGGCGTTCCACAGGGCGGGCGCCACTACTGAGAAGGCCCTCTGCCTGGTTCCCTGTAACTTAGCTTCTCGCAATGAGGGAACTGCCAGAAGGCCCTCGGAGCTGGACCTCAGTGTCTGGGTAGAACGGTGGGGGTGGAGTAGTGAGATAAGGATCTGGCCTGCCAGGACCGAAAGGTTTTATTTGCATTCAGCCTGAGACCTGCACAAGGACTAGCTCTGGGTGGGCTGAGAGCATGCCATCTGCTCCAGCCAGCAGGGCCAGTGATCAAGGATGATGATGGGAGTTGTGGCTGAAAACATCTGGAGAACATCACAATTGGCTGCCCCTGCTGAAATATGTGTGTATGTGGTCGCCACCTAGTGGCCGAATGGCTACAGCGTTTTCTTGAGAAGAAGGTTGGAACTGAGCATCATTCAGACCCATGTTAGAATCAGAGAACTGTAGAACTGGAACTGGAACCCAGGGTCAACTAAGCCCCTGCAATGCAGGGATCTCAGCTAAAGCATCCATGACAGATGACCTTCCAACCTCTGCCTCCAAGGAAGGAAAGTCCATTACATCCCAAGGGAGACTGTTACTCTGTCAAGTCAGAAAGTTTTTCCTGATGATTAATCATAGAATCATAGAATCATAGAGTTGGAAGAGACCACAAGGGCCATCGAGTCCAACCCCCTGCCAAGCAGGAAACACCATCAGAGCACTCCTGACATATGGTTGTCAAGCATCTGCTTAAAGACCTCCAAAGAAGGAGACTCCACCACACTCCTTGGCAGCAAATTCCACTGTCGAACAGCTCTTACTGTCAGGAAGTTCTTCCTAATGTTTAGGTGGAATCTTCTTTCTTGTAGTTTGGATCCATTGCTCCGTGTCCGCTTCTCTGGAGCAGCAGAAAACAACCTTTCTCCCTCCTCTATGTGACATCCTTTTATATATTTGAACATGGCTATCATATCACCCCTTAACCTCCTCTTCTCCAGGCTAAACATCTCCTTTCTTGTAGCGTGAATCCATTGATTTGAGTCCTACCCTCCAGATCAGGGGAAAACTAGCTTTCCCTCCCTCTTCTATGTGACAGCCCTTGAGATATTTGAAGATGGCTATCATATCTTCTCTCAGTCTCCTGTTTTCCAGGCTAGACACCCCCAGCTCCTTCAACCATTCCTCATAAGGCTTGGTTTTCAGACCTTTGATCATCTTGGTTGCCCTTCTCTGCTCACATTCCAGCTTGTCAACATCCTTCATAAATTGTGGTGCCCAGAATTGGACACAGTATTCCAAGTGTGGTCTGACCAAGGCAGAATAGAGCGGTACTATTACAGTGGTACCTCAGGTTAAGAACTTAATTCGTTCTGGAGGTCTGTTCTTAACCTGAAACTGTTCTTAACCTGAAGCACCACTTTAGCTAATGGGGCCTCCCACTGCCGCCACGCTGCCGCCCTGCAATTTCTGTTCTCATCCTGAAGCAAAGTTCTTAACCCAAGGTACTATTTCTGGGTTAGCAGAATCTGTAACCTGAAGCGTATGTAACCTGAAGCATCTGTAACCCGAGGTACCACTGTACTTGCCTTGGGAGTGGTTCCAAGATGGACGCCAGACTAAATGATGTGTAACAGAAATTTAAAAAATTAAAAGCAGTTACTGTTCACCTTGCCAGTGTAGCCTACATTTCTTATATCTGCAGTAGACAATGCTTGGCTGGAAGGACCAATGCTTTGACCTAGGATCGCACAGCTTTTTCTTTTTGCCAGCCAGTCAAATTTTCAAACTGATGGTTGGACTCCCCAGGGAGATCCCACATTCTGGGTCAGGGAAGAAGACAGCAAGATGTCATTCTTCCATTCAGCTTGCTACAGGTCTGGCTTCCACACCCTGCAAAACCTTTGCAAAATTAGCTGCGTTAAAAGTTTGGATAAACCCCAGATTCCGCTATCGAATGTGAGGGGAAGATATTTCCTTAGCAATTCTGTCAGGGAAATGGCCTAAACACTGCTTTATCTACCTGTCACATGCCTTGAAAGGGCAGATTACGTTTTTTTCTCTCTCTCAAACTTGGCACATCCAATTAAGGTAGACTCACAAGCCAGGCAGGTGTGTAAAGTGCAAGGCAGTGCTTGTTCGCGTTTGTAATTATCAATGGGGAGAAGGGGGAAAAAGTTAAGTGCCTGGGCCTGTCGCAACTGTTACCGTGACAACCGTTAATACTCCGAGCCTCTGCTGAGGCAAACATGACAGTCTGACACCTTTCCCCATATTATTCTGCTCCTCAACTGTCCCCTCCCTTCCCAGAATCGCATCTCTTCACTATTTTCTGTTATGTTTCCCTGGTGTTCCTAGCCGTGACTGTGCCTCCTATAACTTTAATCTCGAAACCAGAGTAAGCTGACAGTGGATGCGGCGCCTGTTACCCTCTTGGGGAGTCCACCAGAGTTCTCATCAGGCATGTCCACAAACATTGTTGCCACCTGCAGGGCCCACTTTGCTTGGCCTGACCAGTATTTTAATCTCAGGTTCGGTGTTTTGCTTGATTTTGAGCCAGGGGTTTTAAATTATTGTCATGACTATTTTCCCTTATGCATCCCACGCCTTGGTCCACCGTCTGATTTGCTACATCTCAGGCTCTGTTCCTTTTCTTGTCCCTCTACCTCCACACGTCTCTATTTTCAGTGGAGAAATGCTGGAGGGTATGAAATAGGATGTCCCTGTTTTCAGCAGAGAAATGTTGGAAGGGACATCTCTATATTCACTGGAGAAATGTTGGAGGGCATGGAATAAAAGGTAAAGGGACCCCTGATCATTAGGTCCAGTCGTGGCCGACTCTGGGGTTGCGGCATTCATCTCGCTTTATTGGCTGAGGGAGCCGGCATACAGCTTCCGGGTCATGTGGCCAGCATGACTAAGCCGCTTCTGGCAAACCAGAGCAGCGCACAGAAACGCCGTTTACCTTCCCGCCGGAGCGGTACCTATTAACTTGCACTTTGACGTGCTTTCGAACTGCTAGGTTGGCAGGAGCAGGGACCGAGCAATGAGAGCTCACCCCGTCGCAGGGATTCGAACCGCCGACCTTCTGATTGGCAAGCCCTAGGCTCTGTGGTTTTAACCCACAGCGCCACCCACATCCCAGGGCATGGAATAGGATGTCCCTATTTTCACCAGAGTAATGTTGGAAGGGACGTCTCTATATTCACTGGAGATATGGTGGA